AACATTAGACTATAACATGGGTTTCGATTCATTCCTTTGGGTTCGACCCTTAGCTTGCCTCTATACTCGTATAAGGTTTGTTAAGCGTTTACAAATTTAGTTTGACTTAGGGAGAATTAGATGACGACCTAGTTCCAACCCTTGTCAAAATGCCGCCATTGCCGGGGAATGACATTGGTGCTTTGTTAAAGTTGTTGAGTCTATTTCATTCTTAAAAAAACAAAAAAGATTTTTCTCTTTAAAGCTACACTTGTAGCCGTGCTACTAATAATTTTTTTGAGTTGTATGCATATAGCACGTGGTCATTCACTAGTGCCATCTGATCCGGAGATCGAGAGGACTATTACAAGACTAAGGTTTCTAGGAGATCTTCTAGCTCTAGCAATTTAAGTGAAGAGGAACCGTAACAAGAGGAACAAGAAAGAATGGGAGAGAATCTGAGAGTGGCATTGAAAGAATTGGGGATTCCCGGTGCATATAGATTTGAGAGTGGAATTGATCCACCTACAACTCCGGCAAAAAATTTTGAAATTAGGCCGGCTATGATCACTTTGATAAAGAGGCAAAAATTTAGTGGAGCCAAGCATGAGAGCCCGCTAAATCATCTCAAGGAATTTGAAAAATATTGCAATACTATCAAGGTGAACGGAGTTTCCCAAGAATTCATCCGCCTCAAGCTCTTTCCCTTTTCTGTCATTGGGCGTGCTTTGGAATGGCTAGATAAGGAGGTTAAGCCGAATTCACTGACTACATGGGACGAGGTTACAAAGGAATTTCTAACTCGTTTCTATCCACAAAAGAAAACGGCGAAGGCAAGAGCTTTGATTCAAGGCTTCAAACAAAAGCCAAGTGAGAGCCTCTATGAAGCATGGGAGAGATATAAAGAGTATCAAATGGAGTTTCCTCACCACGGGATTCCAACCTATCAAATTATTCAAATTTTCTATGGAGGCCTAAGTCCCAAAGAAATTCATGCCTAGATGGAGGAGCCGGAGGTCCCATCATGAATAGGAAGGAAGAAGAAGTGGTGGACATCATTAAGGATGTTGTGAGGTACTATAGAGATTGGCAAGATGGTGAGAGACAATCAACCAGCAAGAGTAGCTCTTCGGTGTACTCGGTTGATCATTTGAATGCAATCAACAATCTCTCCTCACAAATGGCAAACTTGGGGAAGGAAGTAAATGTAATCAAGGAAAAATTGGAGAGTTCTTCTTCCCAAGCTCCAAGTCTTCCCTCCCAATTTAAGGGGAGAGGTACTCCTTCTAACTCTAATCCCCCTCCTTCTTCTAGTAACATTCCTAGTGGTTGTTTGTTTTGTGATGTGTGTGGTTCATATGATCATGATTCTAGTAATTGCCCTCATGCTTTTCCGGAGAGTAATGATGATTTTGACCATAATGAGAGTGAACATGTGAACTATGTGTCAAACAACAATAATGTGCAAAGGTTTAATAACCAAAGAGGCCAATGGGATAGGAATTAGCAAAACCATGGTCATTTTGACAATTATAACCAAGGTGGTGGTTATAGGAACCAAGGGACTAAGGTTCTCAAGGTAACTATAACAATCAAGGTTAGTGGCCAAAATCAAAACCAAAATTATGGTAATTAAAACCAAGGTTATGAAAATCATAATCATGGTGGTGGTAACCATAATCAAGGTTATGGTTAAAATCAAAATAGGGGTAATTGGAACAACCAAGGGAGAGGCAATTTTCAAAATAATTCTCAAATAGGCCCTCCACCCGGATTTGCTTCAAAGACTCAAGTTGATAATTCCTATTCACAATACTCTTCTTCTAGGACTAATTTGGAGGAAATCATTGAAAATAAAACAAAGTTGTTGAGCACTTACATGGCCGTAAGTGACAAAAAATTCAATAAAGTGATGACTCATAATAAGATGCTTGAAAACCAAATTTCTCGACTTGCTAATGCTTTGAAAGACCATGCTAGTCCTTATTCTTTACCTTCCCAAGGCTTAGATCCTAAGAGACCCGTGAATGCTATTGTTACAAGGAGTGGTAAGGTTCTTGAGGAGAGTTTGCCTAGGAAGAGTGGAACTAAGGAGGTCCCTAAGGAGGTCTTGGTAGAGGATAAGAGAAATGGTGCATCTTTGAGTGAGGTTGTGATTGAGACACCTAGAGACGTGAGAGTGGAGAAAGAGATTGTGAAACCCAAGCTTCCATATCCATAAAAATTCTTGAGACATAAGTTGGATGAACAATTTGGAAGATTTATTGACATGCTTAAGCAACTTCATCTTTCTCTATCTTTTACCGAAGTTGTTACCCAAAAGCCCAACTATGCAAAATTCCTCAAAGACATTTTGAGTGGTAAGAGGTCTTGTGATGTAATGAAGACGGTCAACTTGACCGAGAATTGTAGTGCAATTATAATGACAAAAATGCCACCCAAGTTGAAAGATCCCGGAAACTTCTATATCCCTTGTGCCATTAAAAAGATGTAAATTGATAATGCCTTATGTGACTTAGGAGCTAGTGTTAGCTTAATGCCATATTCGGTTTATCAAAGACTTGATTTAGGGGAACTTATGCCTTCTAATACCTTGCAATTGGCCAATAGGTCAATTAAGATTCCTACGGGGAAGGTTGAGGATGTTCCGATAAGAGTAGGGAAGTTTGTAATTCCAGTAGATTTTGTGGTGCTTGAAATGGATGAAGATGCTACCATTCCCATTATTCTTGTAGACCTTTTCTTGCTACCTCGGGTGCTATGATTGATGTTAAGAGAGAGAAAATTCCACTCAAGGTAGGAGAAGAGGTTATGGAATTTGACTTGAATGAAAGCATGAAGTATCCATGTTCTTCTTTAGAAAATTGCATGTTGATCAATTCTCTTGATCTTGTTGTATCTTCCATGTATGAGAAGTTTCTCACTTCTAATGATCCTCTTGATATTGTTTTGTTGAACAAGGATAAGATAGGTGCTCCTATCAAGGAAGTGGAAATGTATGAGGATTTGCTAAATGGAAGCATTGAGGAAGTGGATAAGCATATGTGCATGGATATTTCAAGCACAGAAGCTTTGCAAGCCGCCACTTCAAAGGAAGGTGAAGGTATACCAATGGTTGAGGTCAAACCTCCTCCATCACACCTTAGCATCAAGGGATCAAGATGGAGCTGTCCCAATTCGGCCAAGATTGGTTTTCCAAATGGTTTTGTAGAAGTCTCAATGAAAGATTTTCTTTCTCTGTTCAAGGCTAATGGCAATCGTCTAATAAAGTCTTTCAACGATGCTTTTGTCGGTTTTCTGGACTCATTGTTTCTCCGACAACCACCTTAATTGGTGGAGGACATCGAGCTAACGACATTAACCAAAAGCGCTACCCGGGAGGCAACCCGGTTTTCTAACCTTTTTCTTTGATCTTACATTTCTCTTTATTTCCTCCTTTGAGATCTTTTCTTCTTTCTCTCTATTTTGGTTTGTTCTTTTGATCCTAGATACCATGGGATTGGATCAGAGAAATTTTCCAACAATTTTGACGCTACTTCAAGACTTCATGAGTAGCCACACTTCGTCATAAGAAGCGAGCTAGAGCAAGTTCAAGAAAGCCTAGGTATGTTGTTCCACCTCCGCCCGAGGTTGAAGAAACTTATGGCATTGAATTTTCAAAAGAATCACATAGGGATTGCTTCAAGCGTCTATCTAAGAGAAAGATTGTACCAACAAGATTCTAAGATCAAACGACAACCAAGTTTCTAGGGATTGATGAGGATGTTCTCCTTCTTGCGGAGGGCCTTGATATTTTAGAGTTATTGGATTTGAGTGCCCCTACTTATGCTAGGGTGACTTATGAATTCCTTTCTTCTCTCTAAGTTGTCCATGAACCAGGTGCAAATTACTGAAAGATATTGACTTTCCAACTCTTCAACAATGATCACTCATTGACGAATGCTCAACTATGTTCATATTTCAAGTTTCCTTGGGCCGAGGATCCGGATCATTGTATCTATTCGGCTCATAGTAGTATGGCAAGTTATCATGGATATGATGAGCAACGTTGGTGGAGGAGTATCTCGGAGGAAGGAAAGTATGATCCTCAAACTTCAATGTCCGCTTCCATTATTCATCCAGCTATGTGGTATTTCAACCAAATCCTCACATACGCTCTTTGCTCCAAGGACTCTTTGGGAGCTATCTTCAGTGAGGAGCTTTGTTAGTTGTGGGTAGCCAACCAATATGACTTTGAGATTGAGTCGGTGGATTTCATGTAGCATTTGATCTCTCGATTCTTGGATATTCGTGATGGAGTTTTCCTATCGGGGTGCATCTAATTGGGTGGGATGAATTCTATCCTAGCTCTTTGCATCAATGATAATTACAAGACCATGTTAGATGAGTTTCCCCCGATTATTGATCCTCGAGAAAAGTCTCCCTCTCATTTCTTAAACATCTCCGCCCTAGTGAATCAAAAATTTCTTGATCGAACAAGGAAGGACGATGTTTTCTTTTGTAAGGTTTATCGATATAAGGAATGGTTCCTCATCCCTTTCAAGGAGGCAACTACTCGACCCAAGGAGAGAGATTCTTTGTCTTGGAGGCCCCCTGATGAGTGTCATTTATGGCACTCATAGAGTAGTCTTTTAAGATGATTTCGTCTTCCTTTTTAGGCTTTCTTATCTTATTTTTGGTCCTTTTTCCTTTAATCCCTTTCTTTCTTTCTTTCCTTGTGTTTTTCGTGTTTTCTTCGTGTTTTCCTTTTATTTGGTTCTTTTTCCCTTTTATTCCTTTTCGTTGTTTGTTCTTGTAGGTACCTAGGATTTGTCTTTTCAAGGGAATCAAGATGGGCTATATTGACTAAGCAAGGAGGAAATAATCGGCTTAGAGAGGGCTCAGAGAGGGCATGGAGAGGGCATCTAGCCTTGCCAGTCTGCCGCGGGCGCGGGTACTGAAGGCTTGTGGTTGAGACACCAAGAGAGGTGAGAGTAGAGAAAGAGATTGTGAAACCCAAGCTCCTTTATCCCCAAAAATTCATGAGACACAAGTTGGATGAGCAATTTGGGAGATTTATTGATATGCTCAAACAACTTCACCTTTCTTTACCTTTCACCGATGTTATCGACCAAATGCCTAATTATGCCAAATTCCACAAGGACATTTTGAGCGGAAAGAGGACTTGTGATGTTGTGGAGACAATCAATTTGACTGAAAATTATAGTGCGATCATCATGAACAAAATGCCACCCAAGTTGAAAGACCCCAGAAACTTTTCCATCCCTTGTGTTATTAACAAGATGCAATTTGATAATGCCTTATGTGACTTAGGAGCTAGTGTAAGCTTAATGCCATATTCGGTTTATCAAAGACTTGTTCTAGGGGAACTCTTACCTTCTAACATTACCTTGCAACTAGCCGATAGGTCAATCAAGTTTCCAAAAGGTAAAGTGGAGGATGTTCCATTAAGGGTTGGGAAGTTTGTGTTCCCGGTGGATTTTGTTGTTTTAGAAATGGATGAAGATGCTACCATTCCAATTATTCTAGGTAGACCCTTTCTTGCTACCTCGGGTGCTATGATAGATGTAAAGTTTGCAAAGATTTCCCTAAAGGTAGGAGATGAGGTTATATAATTCAATTTGAATGAAAGCATGAAATATCCAAGTTCTTGTTTTGAAAATTGCATGATGATTGACTCTCTTGATCATATTGTGTCTTCCATGCATGAGAACTTGCTCACCTCTAACGATGCTCTTGAGAATGTTTTGTTGAACAAAGACAAGCTAGGTGTACCATACAAGGAGGTAGCATTGTATGAGGAATTTCTTAAGGAAGCATGGAGGAAGTGGATGAACAATTGTGCTTGAAGATCTCAAGCCATGAAGCTTTGCAAGCGGCCGCAACAAAAGAAGGTAAAGGTGTGCCTAAGGTAGAGCTCAAACCTCTACCATCACACCTTAGGTATGAATTCTTAGGCCCAAATTCCACTTACCCCGTAATTGTTAGTGCATCCTTGAGTGAGAGCCACGCTCAAGCGTTATGTTGTGTCTTGAGAAAACACCAAGGTGCTTTGGGATATACTATCGATAATCTTAAAGGTATAAGCCCCGCTTTGTGTACGCACTATATAACGCTTGAGGAAGGCACCCTTCCTTCTATTGAACGACAAAGAAAGATACACCCTTAAATGGGAGAGGTGGTGAAAAAAGAGATCACCAAGCTCTTGGATGCGGGAATCATATTCCCCATCTCAAGCTCTAGGTGGGTTTCTCCCGTTCATGTCGTTCCTAAGAAGGGGGGTATGACCGTAGTCAAGAATGAGAGTGGTGAGCTCATTTCAACTAGGACGGTTACTGGTTGGAGGATGTGTATAGACTATAGACGTCTAAATACATCCACCAAAAAGGATCACTTTCCCCTTCCATTCATTAATCAAATGTTAGAGAGACTAACAAGGCACAAGTTCTATTGCTTCCTTGATGGCAATTCGGGATTTTTCCAAATTCCAATCCACCCCGAAGATCAAGAGAAAACAACATTTACATGCCCCTATGGGACCTTTGCCTATAGGAGAATGCCCTTTGGCCTTTGTAATGCCCCCGCAATTTTCCAAAGGTGCATGATGAGCATTTTTAGAGACATGTTGGAGGAAGAAATGGAGGTATTTATGGATGATTTCTCCGTAGGTGGGGTTTCATTTGAAGAGTGCCTAGTTAATCTTGAGAAATGTTTGGCTTGGTGTGTAAAGGTTAATCTTGTCTTGAATTGGGAGAAATGTTATTTCATGGTGGAGGAAGGGATAGTGCTTGGGCATAAGATCTCTCATAAAGGAATAGAGGTGGATAAGGCCAAAATTGAGGTTATTGAGAAGCTTCCACCTCCAGTGAATGTCAAGGGAGTGAGATCATTTTTGGGTCATGCGGGTTTCTATAGAAGATTCAACAAGGATTTCTCACTCATTTCCAAGCCCCTTAATGATCTTCTTCAAAAAGATGTTGAGTTCGTTTTTGATGATAAATGCTTGGAAGCATTTAATAGATTGAAGAAGGCCCTAATCTCTACCCCCATTGTTCAAGCCCTAAGATGGGATCTACCCTTTGAATTGATGTGTGATGCTAGTGATTGGGCAATTGGAGGTGTTTTGGGAAAACGTGTGGACAAGAAGCTTATGTCATTTACTATATGTCCAAGACACTAAATGGGACTCAAAAGAATTACAAAACAACAGAAAAAGAATTCTTGGCCATTGTTCACTCTTTCGAGAAATTTCGGTGTTATTTGTTGGGTTCCAAGACCATTTTCTTCACGGATCATGCGGCTCTCAAATATCTCTTTGCCAAGAAAGAGTCCAAGCCAAGGTTGATTCGTTGGGTGCTTGAATTAAAAACTTTTGAAATAGAGATTAGGGATAAAAAGGGTGCGGAAAATGTTGTGGAGGACCATCTTTCTCGCCGTGAGGGTGATCAAATTCATGATGATGGTTTACCAATTGAAGATAGAATGCTTGATGATGTCTTGTATGCCATTAAGGTTAAGGATCTCCCATGGTATGCCGACTTGGTGAACTTTCTAGCATGTGGGGAGTTTCCACCTTCTTTCTCCAAGAACCAAAAGAAGAAGGTCAAGAGGGAGGCAAGACATTACTTGTGGGATGAACCAATCTTGTATAAACGCGGGGTGGATGGCCTGCTTCGGCGTTGTGTCCCGAATGAAGAGGTGCCAAGTGTTCTAAAGATGTGCCATTCGGATCCAAGTGGCGGTCATATGGGCGTTTCAAAAACCGCCACTAAGGTTCTTCAAAGTGGTTTGTGGTGGCCGCATCTCTTCAAAGATTCATGGGGCTTTGTAAATTCATGCGACCAATGTCAAAGGGTCAGGAATATCTCCAAGAGGAATGAGATGCCTCAACAGCCCATTCATAAGTTAGAGGTGTTCGATGTTTGGGGGATTAATTTCATGGGACCATTCCCATCTTCATATGGTAATCAATTCATACTTGTGGTTGTGGACTATGTTTCTAAATGGGTTGAGGCCATTGCCTCCCCTACTAATGACCACAAATTAGTGTTGAAGTTGTTCAATAAAATCATCTTCCCAAGGTTTGGCGTACCTAAGGCTGTGATAAGCGATAACGGATCTCATTTTGTTCACAACGCCTTCCAAAAGATGTTGAGGAAACATGGAGTGCATCAACGGTTCGACCTTCCATACCATCCTCAATCGAGTGGCCAAGTCGAGGTCTCCAATCGTCAAATAAAGCTCATTCTTGAGAAGACGGTTGCAAGGAATAGAAAGGATTGGTCAGACAAGTTAGATGATGCTCTTTGGGCTTATAGGACGGCTTTTAAGACGCCCATTGGTACCACTGCATATCGCCTTATCTATGGCAAGTCTTGCCATCTCCCGGTGGAGCTTGAACACCGTGCTTTATGGGCAATCAAAAAGATCAACTTTGATTTAGAAAGTGCGGGGGAGAAAAGGTGGTTGGATCTTTATGAGCTAGAGGAGCTTAGACTTGATGCTTATGACTGTGCTAGCACCTACAAAGCTCGTTCTAAAGAAGCTCATGATAAGCTTATTGAGAAGAAGGAGTTATGTGTGGGTGATAAAGTCCTCCTCTACCACTCGACAATGAAGTTATTTCTCGGAAAGCTCATGTCAAAATGGAGTGGTCCTTTCTTGGTGAAAGATGTTTTTGCTAATGGCACCGTGGAGATTTCTCCTTTGGATTCCTCATCTTCTTTCAAGGTTAACGGTCATCGGCTTAAGAAATATTTTGATGGAGTCTTTGTTGGTCTTATTCATAAAATGATTCTTTTCAAACCACCTTGAGCGGGGTGGTAAACGTCGAGCTAACGACGTTGAACAAAAGCGCTTACGGGAGGCATCCCGGATTCCCACCTTTACTCTCTTTTCCTTTCTTTCTTTTATTTTTGGTATTTTTTTGATTTTTTCTCTTACCCTTCCTTGTGTTTTTGGTTTGTTTTGTAGGGTGACTTCATTCATCATATATGGACTAAATGTGTTTGTTGAGGGTGATAAGAGGTTTTAGAGTGCAGGGGAGAGGGCACCCCGCGGGCTTGGAGAGGCCTTGGGTGCCCTTGCTTTCAATAGTGGGAATCGGATCAGTAGCTCTCCGCGGTCTCTCCGCAGGCTCTCCGCGGGCGCGAGTGCCTTAGAGAGAGCGCGGGGGAAATTTAGAGAGGGCGCGGCTCAATTTCTAAAATTGGATTAGGAACTCTCCGCGGCCTCTCCGCAATCTCTCCGCGGCGCGGTAATTTTGGAGCGGGCGCGGGCGAATTAGAGAGGGCGTGGCCCATGGTCAGGTATGAAATTTCCGGATTTTTCCAGAAACTCTCCGCGGTTGCCCCGCGGTCTCTCCGCGAGCGCGACAATATTGGAGCGGGCGCGGCTTTGTCGAGAGAGGGCGCGGGGATCTGGGTTTTAATTAGCCCGGTTCCTCTCTCTTTCTCTCTCCTCTCTTAATTTCCCTTTCACTCTTAATTTTCCCCTTCTCTCTGTTCCTCCTCTCAAACCCTAAACCCCAAATCATCTCTTTCCCTCAATTTTACTCTAATTCACCCTTATTTTCTCTTAAATTTCCACCCTAACTTCCTTCATACTCCATTTTCATCAAGTTTGCTCTTCTTTCTCGTGGTTTTCTTCGGGAATTTCGAGTCTACTCGATTTTGTGCTTGATTTGAGTCTTCAATCTTGGTATACTTCTCACCTTTGTTTTATTTTTGTTAATTTCAATTGATTTTTATGCATTGGTTGTGAGTGGCCTTGATTAACTTGAGTATGATGTTTTTGGTTGTTTGTATGGTGGTTTTGGAATTATTTTGGATGTTTTTGTGCTTCTTTTTTGTGATAGATAGTTAATATTGCTGGTTGTTGTTGGATTTTCGGTTGTTGGTTGTTTGTGGTGGTTTTGGGTGGTCTTGTGAACGGAGGATTGTTCACGTTGGTTGTAGTGTTGAATTTGGGTGTTTTTTTGTGATTCATTGTGTTGGTTGAGCTTGAAAATATGGATTTGTTGAGGAGAGTTAAGAGTAGCAAGAGAAGTTCAAACCAATCCCCCGGCCAATCCTCTCGTAGCCAACCTTTCGAACACCGAACCCCCTTTAAACCAAACTACTCAAGATAATGCCCCACCTCCTCCTTTACCCGCTCTCAAATTTCATAACCGGGCTAAACACACCCCTATCTATAATAAAATGAAATCCCGGAAATTTAAACCGTCCCGCAACTATTTTCCCGAGGATATGGAAAAATTGGGTGTTGATGCCGATCTTCACATTTTGCTCCGTAATCTTGGTTTGGTTGAGTTTGTAAAGTCATCCCCCCGAACTTATTTGGAACCATACATTGAATTTTTCTCTACGTTTGAGTTTAATATGACGGGGGATACCGACTATATCATCTATTTTCATCTTTTCAATTCCAAGCATACCATGAACCTTGCGGAATTCAACAAAACCCTTGGTTTCAACCCAAATACCGACATTTTTGAGCCTTTGGTTACCCTTCACAAGACCGAATACAATGAGGTTGCTTGGCGGAGAGCCATATCTAGGAAGAAGTCGTTTGACTCTAAGGAATCGCTTGCTAGAGAGATCATTCACCCGGCTCTTCGTATTCTCCATCGGATTCTTGGTTATACAGTGTTTAGTAAGCAAGATCTTGGGAAGCTTTCGAGGGAGGAGATCTTGGTGCTTTGGATGGCTACAAGGCCGGATTTGGGGCCAAGGTTGAATTTTTGGTATCTTTTCATGAATTGTTGTAAGTTGATCGCCAATGGGAAGAAGACGGGTGAGATTCATTGTGGTGGTATGATTACTAGATTGGTGTATTATTTCAAGCAAGA